ACTCTTTCCTTGGCTGAAATACCCTTCTGCCCCAGAGAGCTGCATTGCTCACCCCTTTGGTTTACTTAGATCTCTGCTCAGTTGTCACCTTAACACCCCCTCATATAAAACTAGATCTCTCCCTACTCTCACTCTTAACCTCTCTCGGCCCTTTCCCTCTGCTTTATTTTTGTTCATGGAATACAACAGTCCCTCCCTTGGCTCCTACCACCACGTAGGTCCCTATTCATTATGTATTTCATTGTGTATCTGTTTATTTTCTGACTTTCCCCAAGTATGAGTCCTTCAGGAAAGCAGGGGCTTAGTTTGAAATATAGATGAGTGCTCCGAGGTGGCCCCCAGGCTCTGTTGCCAAGAGACACTGGATGAGACACAAAACCAGAGGCCTGAACCATCCAGCATGGGTGAGAAACACACAGCACAGACAATGGGAAGTTAGAGATTTGGGGACACAGAGGGTAAGAGGCAGAAGGGAGAGGACCTAGGGAGGGCGGAGGTTTCCAGGCCAGCATCCTGGGGCTATTTTGTCCAATACGGTAGCTACCAGCCCAGTGTGGGTACAGAACTCTTGAAATGTGGCTTGGTCTGTACTGAAGTGTGCTGGTAGAGTGAAAACACACCCCAGATGGCAAAGATTTAGTTGTAAAAAATGCACGCAATGTGGCTTGATGATTTTAAAATTGTTGAATATATATTAAAATGACAACCTTTTGGATGTACTGGGTTACATATGTAATTATAGTAAAATTAATTTCATCTCTTTCTACTCTTGTTAATGTGGCTACTTGACACTCTTTAATTGCATATGCACCCCGAGCTGTATTTCTATTGGAGAGGGCTGGTCTAGAATATAGACAGAGGTAGTTTTTGTAAGAAGAGGAATGCAAAGAGACGGGATTATTATTAGTAACATACAGGAGGCCACCACTACTTCCCCAGAACATGAAAAAAAATGGCAAATAACACTACACTGTCTTCTGGGGTTGAGGAAGGGGACCAGTAATCGCATAATGATTCGAAGCTGAGATATGCACTAGAACCTAAAACAGGTAAAATGGAGCTGGCTCCATAGCCTAGTGCTTAAGGAAGCCAAACCCCAGATGACTGACCACTGTTCAAATCCTGACCCCAGCAGCTTGGAGAACATGCCAGGTATGTGTGTGTGTGTGTGGGGGGGCAAATCTGGAAGAATAGAGAAACCGGAGAAGGGGTTGTGGCGTGACCATGCCTCTCTCTCATTCTGTATCTCTGACAAGTGCGTGCACCTCTGACAATTAAAAAAATAAATAAATAAAGATTAGAATGGTTTTAAGTCCAAGAGAGTGGGACCAGAACCTGCCAGAACCTACTTACACAGGTCAAGAAAATGCATCGCTTAGGAGGAGCATTGGCCAGCAACAGAGCGTGGAAAAGGGCTCCCATCAACAGCAAACGTGACAGTGCCTGTCAGAACACTGTCAGCGTGCAGATGTCTGTCCAGGCGCTTTCAGTTTGATGCCACTGAGCAGAAGACCCCAACGATGGAGTGACCATCTAATTTACTATCCAAACCAAACCACTATTGACAGCAAAAGGGAAGTCATTAATTATTCTGCTGGGACAGTCAACTGGACTGTCCCAAGCAAATGTCAGAGCAGGTGTCAGGGCATATGTCACCCTGCCTCAACAAATTCTTACTTATTTCTCCAGCTGAAGCCTTCTGATTGTGTAAAATGTGCCTCAGGCAAGACAGACTTTGTTTTTCAGAGAGGTTTCTGCTATAGGATGAATGTACTCACCAGAAAGACAGAGAGACAGAAATTGAGAAATCACCCCGCAGGGGAGATGGCCACGCCGCAATCCCTTCTCCTCCATTCTCCTCTTAGGATCTTGAGCATTCACGCATACGTGCCTGGCATGAGTTTAAGCCACAGGTTCCAGAGCTCTAACCGTAGTCGACTACATGGGAGTCCAGTGACATAGCCATTACGCTATCCTCTGGTCCCAACAGACATTTTTTAAATGAATTTCTTTTAAGTTTGTTGTAGGGTGAGTGTACTTGTCAGAGACAAGAGACAGAGAGGGAGAGAAAGAGAAAAAGGCAGAGCGAGATAGTACCCTCTAGGGACATGGCCACGCTGCAATCCCTTCTCCTCCATTCTCCTCTCGGGATTTTGGGCACACATGCAACGTATTCGGTTTGTTTTCCAAGCTGCTGGGTCCAGGACTAGAACCATGCATTTGGCCGGTGGCCCCCTTAATGCCACCAGCCAGCCCAAGACATACATTTTTTTTTCTCTTTAAATTTATTTATTTTTTTACATTAATTCACTATACATCATTACAGCATACAAATGAATTTTCCATCCAAAATACACTGTATATTGGCTCAATCAAGCACATCAACGTACATGTTATCAGCAAATAATTTTCCATTTCTTATGTCTTATACTCTGTTTTTTTGTTTTGCCACCCTTGATTCCCTATCCCTCACCCTCTGCCGTGTCCCACCCTCCTCCCACATTGTCTCTGGTATCCATGGTTGCTTCCTATGCTTTCCCCCCATTTAATTGATTTGCTAATGAACTTAATTAGTCTAAATATTTCCAATAGCAAGGGCAGCTGATATATACCTATACGTGAACCCAAGACTGACTTTAGGCATAAACCTCAGTGAGTAGAATGAACATACTATAAAGTAGTACCTAGCTGGGGCTATATAGCTTACTGCAGTCCTCAAATATGCATTTTTTTCAGGAGAAAAAAAAGACATACATTTTTAAATGTATCAACATTATCAAAAAAGAGAATGCTTCTTATAGTTGATATGAGCATTAAACATCAGGCTTCTCCACCTCCCAACCCGAGTCTATATTAATTTGATAGTACACCTTACAGTCACAGGACAGAGTAATTTAGCATCCCCTGTGGTATGGCCTAAAGGGAAAATGCATGGATCAGAGAGTAGGAATGCCCTCTCACCAGGTAACTGATTTCCACTGGAAAATAACAAGTAGGTACTCTGGCTTCAGCAGCTGGTTAGTTTGATTTGGTAACCTAAGACTGAGTCCAAGTCTACAAGGCCCAAGTCCAGATCCAGAACAGAGTGAATTTACTGAGGTCATTCTGTCTTGTGGGAACCTGTTTGAAAACTCCCTGACTTTAACCAAGTGACAGCTCTCCATGTCACCATGGTCCCTCCACACCCTTCTCATTTGCAAGTGGAGGAGGCAATAGGACAGAGTCTGGTTTTGGTCTGTTGGGATGAAAGGGTGGATGGGATGTTCACATGGAAGTGGGGCTGACAGTAGAAGTCGAAAGACATCTGTATGGCTCACAAATAATTAGAAGCAATAATTTTGGTTGTATCTTAGGAGAGTTATAGTTCAAATAAGTGACCGGAGCTAGGCCTGGCTGCTGTGGCACAGTGCTAAGACAGGGCCCTGTAAGGCTGGAAGGCAAGTGGAGACCATGGGTTCAGATCCCTGTGTAGGCCTGAAAACATTCTGGGTTCACACACAGGTGCCCAGGGTCCTGAGGAGCTGGAGAACTGGGAAAGGGGATCACAGAGTGACAAGACCCTATCAAGGGTGTTTTTCTGTCTTTCTGTCTCACACACGCATGTACCCTTGTACACATGCTCACAATCGTTAAAACACACAAAAGAAAGACATGACTATGCATGCACAATTGACAAGTCGTTGTTAGAGTATAAACAGGTTTACCACAAATGCCTTTTTTTTTCTTTTAGTTTGTAATAGGGTGCATATGCTTGCTAGAAAGAGACAGAGCAACCCTCAGAGGGGATGGCCACACCACAATCCCTTCTACTCCATTCTCCTCTTGGGATTTAGGGCACGTACAAACACCCAACATGTCTTCCAGGCCCGTGGGTAAAGGACTCAAATCACGTGGTGGTTCATGTGGGACCCAGCCACCCTAATCATCACACCACCGACAGAGTCTAGCGGCAGGTCGGAGTCTGAAATACAGTGTTCAGTGGGGGAAAGGGCTGGGGTCCCCCAGCCACATCTGACACTGGCTCAGGAAAGCGCAGACCATGGACATAGAGCACAGTGATACTGGAAGTTTTATATATATGTTATTAAAATGTATTTCTTCAGCAAAACAGACAACAGTAAGATAATATGTAAAATGAGAAAAGCTGTTGAAAGCAACTTACTTATTCTGTCCAATTGTCTCGAAGTCTTTCACGATGATCCCAAGGGAAGATGAAAAGTCCAGTGGGATACCCCTCAAGTCAAACTCCAAAATCTGTTCACATACAGGTAATAAAAACAGAAAGATTGTTACAAGGATCAGAGAATACATACTACGGCAGGTTGGGTCATTATTTTCACCCATGACAATCTTCTCCATGCAATTCTATAATTAGACAGAAATGACTAAATTCTAAATCTGGAGGCAGCTGAGGCCCCTAGTAAAGTGGGCAGCTCCTGGCTTCTCCTTTTCTAAGTCCTCTGATTTTAGACATGCAATCAAACCCCTGCCTCATAACAAGCGAACTGGACCCAACGTCCACCACGGTGCTGCAAGAATAAAATAAAATGTGCAAGCTGAAAAGCTCTCTTCAGTGGTTATTTTAAAATTAGTTCCTTTTCTTAATATTACTATCATAGAAGATGAATAATCTAAGAAATGTTTTAAAAATATATATCCTTATTTTAAGTCCCACCATGGTTAGTGCTGTAGTCAACTGACCTTTTCAAGTCTCTCATTTTTAAGAAAGAATTATTTAATTTTACCTATTACTATCATTATTTTAAAATTTTTTATAGGGCATGTGCATTCACCGGAGAGAGAGAAAGTGAGAAAGCAAGCTGCCAGATCAGGGACTTGAACGTGATCAGCCATGTGGGAGTCTAGTACCTTAACCATCATGCCACCTGTTGACTCCCAAGTCTCTCATTTTAATGCAATAAATTGCTTTCTGATGTACAAAGTTAAAAAATCAACAAAGCAGGACCAGCAGTTGTCAAAAAGGCTATGTCGCTGGACTTCCGTGTAGTAGACCGGAGTTCAAGGTCTGGACCCAGTGGCTTAAACTCACACCGGGCATGTGTGCGTGCATACCCAAGATCCCAAGAGGAGAATGGAGGAGAAGGGATTGCGACATGGCCATCCCCCCTGGGGGGTGATTTCTTGCTTTCTCTTTCTGTCTCTCTCTTCTGTCTTTCTGGTGAGTGCATGCACCCTATAGCAAAAATCTCTCAAAAAAAAAAAAAAAAAATCAACAGAGCACCACTGATGCCTTAAATCAATTAGGTAGTAAATGAATTAGATAAATCAAATGATAACTTGATTATCTTTGAACTAGAAGGAAAACTTGTTGACCACATTAGAGCACACCCACCAATCCCAATGATTTAGGGGTTACATTCCACTTGGGTTTGGTTTCAGTTGTAAAACTGTAAGTGGGTCGTTGCATGATAAATACATTTTTAATGTGAGAAAAACAAATGTTGGAAACAAAATGGGATATGATAGATGATGTCCCGGAGAGGATATGCCAGCTCACAGGACAGTGCATCTTTCTGTCATCAGTCACGTGAATTGAGCCCAAGTACAAAGAGACATTAGGATAATTCAAAGCCTGAACTCACAAGCACACACATGCAATCACAAATATATGCATACACACACACACACACACACACACATATGTATATATAGAAGAGGTTTATCTTTATTTATTATTATTGTTGTTAAATTTGCTATAGAACATGTGCACTCAACAAGAGAGAGAGAGACAGAGGTGAGAAAGCAAGCTACCAGGTCAGCAACTCGAATCATAGTCAACCATGTGGGAGTCCAGCACAAAATTATTAAAAAAAAAAAAAGAGACCATTGGAAACTGAACCCAATTTTTTTTTTTTTTTTTTTTTTGAAAGGTTTCTGCTATAGGGCACGTGCGCTAGCCAGAAAGACAGAGAGAGAGACAGAAAGCAAGAAATCACCTCTTAGGGGGGATGGCCACACTACAATCCCTTCTCCTCCATTCTCTCGGGATCTTGAGCACGCACACACACATGCCCAGTGTGGGTTTAAGCCATTGGATCCGGGACTCGAACCGTGGTTAGCTACATAGGAGTCCAGCAACATAGCCATTATTCCAACTGCTGGTCCCTTATTATTATTTTTAAATTTGCTATAGGGCACATGTGCTCACCAGAGAAAGAGAGAGAGAGGGAAAGTGAGAAAGCAAGCTGCCAGGCCCAGTACTCGAACTGCAGTCAGTCATGTGGGAGTCAAATGCCTTAACCACCATGCCATTTGCTAGCCCCTGTTAGTTTTATTCTTGGAGCTCCATGTCACATGCTAGGATTCCACAGTGACCAACCAGATAGGGCTCCTGCTGTCATGAGATTGTAGCCCGGCTGGCTGTGTTCTGGGTTCCAGTGACATGGCAGAGAAACGGAACCCCTCTCTGCCTATGTTCAGACCAGCAAGGCTTTTTAGAAAAGCATAAAGAAGCTTTCAGCCTTCACTATATTCAAAGATAAGGCATGGAGTCAATCTTACAGAGATACTGAAACTAGTTAGGAGAGGAAGGGATTTGTGGTGGATGGAGAAGAATTCTTCACAGCCTTCTGGTGAAACTAACAAAGGCATTTGTTACTATTCTTCTCCATGGAGGCTTGATCCAGCTTTTGAAAACAAGAAATGAGGCTGATCATCAACTTTTAAAAATTAGTCAGAGTAGGAAAATTGTACTCAATGGGAAGAATGAAAATTTTCACATGTCTATACAAACGTTAAATACCGACCACTTACAAAATAAACAGTTGGGGGATATAAGTTATACTACATTCCTTCAGAAGAATACTACATCGTTGTTTAAAAAAAACCCTTTTTTAAAAAGAATTATTATATTTAACTTTATTTATTTTTATTTGACCATGAGGGACAGAATGAGAGAGAGAGAGAGAAAGAGAAAAGGAGAGAGAGAGAGAAGGATAGTGAGAAAGCAAGCTGCCAGGTCCAGGACTTAAACCACGGTCAGCCATGTGGGCATCCAGCACCCTTAACCTGCCGGCCCCTAAAAAACTTCTGAACTGAGTGATATGGGCATTGGCTCACGATATAATAGTAAGAAAAATTAGGCTAGAAAATTGTATTTGCTATGTAATGCTAATTTATATTTCAGACATTTTATTGTTTTAATGACTTCATTAATTAATTTTTTTTGGAGGGAAAGGTTTTTGCCATAGGGCATGTGTGTTCTCCAGAGAGACAGACAGACAGACGGTAAGCGAGAAATCACGCCCCAGGGGGATGGCCATGCCGCAATCCCTTCTCCTCCATTCTCCTTTCAAGATCTTGGGCACACACGCACACGTGCCCGGCATGAGCTTAGGCCGCTGGGTCCAGTACTCCAACTGTGGTTGACTACATGGGAGTTCAGCAACATAGCCATTATGCCAAGTGCTGGTCCCATATTTTAATTTATTAATTAAACATAGATTAATAAATTCAAGTATCAGTTCACTACACACTACTATGTCAAAGATGTTAACCGTAGTTGCTTTTGGATAGTAAAATTAAAGTTAAGTTTTTAAGGCCTTCTTGAAGTTTCCAAAATTGCTGTTAAGTATGCATTACTTTTATCCATATAAAAAACAACAAATGCCCTTACTAAGCTGAACCCACGAACGGTCATGTGACGCACTCTTGATTCGTCACACACGGATGTGTTCTCAATTGTGGAGCTTCCCTCTCAGATGCTGGCGGTGATCTGATCTCCCCTTTGCTCTACAGAGGTGCCCTGACATTGCCCCACACACTGGGGTCACAGAGCAAGCTCATAGCCATGCCAGGCTAGAACTCGACCCGCATCGGTCCCAGTCCAGGTTCCACTCGCCACGCCACCACCACCGCCCAGAGAGGTCACTGGTGCCTTGGTCTCCTTGAACTTCCCCACTGCCACTCCCATGGTGAGCATGACGGGAGACGGAGGAGGCAAGGGGGAAAGGTAGAGTTTCTCCTTCTAGAAGGAAGCATTAACCTCTGACCCGAGTACTGGATGATCAGATAGAGCTTATCCATTAAAACAAAGTTGAAGAAACAATGAAGTCACCTCATTCCAGACAGGATTTAGTTCATTATCAACTTTCTTGGTTTTCTTTTTCTCATCTGCAAACAAATAAGAGAAGACAATTAGAAATAACGGAAGAGCACAGACATTCATTTACATATTTAAAGAACATCACTATCTCATCTAATCTCCCTGGAAACCGAGGAGGTAGAGATTACTATTTTCATCAGCTTTTACAGGGAAGGACACTGAGGTGTTAAGTAATGCAGTCAATGTCCACGGTTAGGGAGGGCTAGCTGGCCACACTTGGAACCCCTGGCTCCTTGGCCACTGCTTTCCCTCCTGCACTGGAATCGGGAGGTCCTGTTAGCTGAACGTCACATTGCTCCAGCTCCCAGCACACAGTTGGCTGTGGGACGAACCACCCCTTCTTCCAAGACCTCAGCATAGCAAGGCCCTGAGTCATGCCCCAGACCTCAGCATAGCAAGGCCCTGAGTCATGCATGCCCTTCACTCTGCTAAGCATTAACTTCCACTTGAGCAGGCAGCACGTAGCCATAGCCCGACTGGCTTCCCTTCTAAGCTTCAGCTTGACCCGATTCATTCTCACACCCGGATGTAGACCGTTATTTCCAACTGTGGCCTTTACATGGCCTGCAGAGTCCCTCACTGGAACTCATTCTCACGTCACCTAGAAGCTGTCCTGAGATTCCCCCTCCCACACTTGCATCTCAACCCCACCCGCTTCTCCCCTCCTTCTGACAAGCTCGCAGTCCTCTCTTCTTGCAGCATAAGGCAGCGTCCTGCAGAGAAAGAGGAGTCAGGGAGAGGATTTTTCACTTAAATGGACCAGGACAGAATGGCTTCAATGCATACATGTAGCAGCCCCTTTAAGTAACCCCCTGCAGGTGCCCTGTATTCCACTGCAGGGTCTCTGTCCATTGGAGCCCTTCAGAGTAAACACTGTCACCCCCCTCTCACAGATAAGACTGAGAGAAGCGAGTTAACCTGCCTCAGGGTACACAACTAACAAGGAAGCAGCCAGACTGTGAACCTGCTTCTCCGGCTCTGAAACCTGGGAGTGTGTTTGCTACCACAGTGCCGTGCTGGAAGCTGTCAGGAGCTTTGGGTAAAGAAGATACTGATGGGCCATCCGTGTGATGGGCTTGAACCTTGGGCACTGTCCACGGGGAAGTCCATGGTCAGGATTCAGAGTATCCTGAAATTCTCCAAGATTATTTGCTCTAACACACAAAATAATATTGGGTTGTTGGGGAAGTCACGGCCTTTCTGATGCCCTAATAGATCTGTGAGTTTTTCTAGGGAGAGTGTTTATTGTCTTCCGTAGATTCGTAAATGAGTTAGTGACCCTGAAGAAGGTTAGGAGTCCCTGCATTCAACAAGCATGACCTGGTCCCACTAATCTCCTTCCATCTCCCCACTATCTCCGCTACATTCCAGGGCTTGGTGGGTGGAGACCTGAGTCACAGGCATAAATCTCAACCCTGAAACCACAGCAGACCTTCCAGAGAGAAGTTGGGCAATTCTAAGAAGTCCCAGCAAATAAATGAAGCAAGGAGGAGGCACCAAGTAACGTGCAGGGGGCACAGGGACCTGGGGTGGGATTCGGGTCCCTGGAGCACGATACTGGAGCAAATTCCAGTCTCCAGATACCAAGACTCTAGCCTGGGAGCTACAGCGGCGACAGGAGCTGCAGGGAGGCTGCAGGAAAAGCGAGCACTCGCACTGAACCGAGCCCAGGCCTGGCTACTGACCCAGGGAGACATGCTGCGAGGCTATCCTGATGCCTGATCAGTACTGCTGACTCTTCCCTGCCCACAAGAGGGACAGGATTGTTCTAGGACCAGCAGCTGGGAGTGTGGAAAAGTTCGCAGGTTCATTCATTCACCCTCCAATGTTTATTAAGCACCCACTATACACACTAACTGGAGAATAGAAAGTGAAGGTCGTTTCTGGTCTTAAAACATTGTGCAAATGTGGACTATTGCTATTGAGCAAAGGAACCAAAGAAATCTTCATGCATGTGCTATGGCTTAAACATGTCCCCCAAAATTCACATGTTGGAACTTGGTGAATACTGTTACTTTGATGAAGGTATTAAGAAGAAACTTAATCCAGTTATGGCGCTGAAAGGTGCGGCCTTTGGGAAGTAATTACGCGGGAAAGTGGGGCCCCTATGACTGAATCCTGGTGGGTTTGCACAGAGTGGCAACGAGACAGAGATGCAGGCACACACAAGCTCGCTTGGCTCTCAGCCATGCTACCCACCAGGAAGAATGCAGCCCCTGGACCTCGGACAGTCAAACCATGAGCTGACTAGATCTCAAGTGCTGTAGATCACCCAGGTATTTTCTGTTATTAGCAACAGAACAGAATGGAACAGGATGTTTCTGCCCAACAGCAAAAAGCCCCACCACGCTCTCTCCTGCTTCATCCTCATCCTTTAGCTCCTTCCTGGGGGAGGGGGAGGAGTGGGAGAGTGACAGCTCAGCTCAGGCCCAGAGCCTCACAGCTCAGATGTAGAAATGAAGCTCTCAGGGGCCAGGTGGTGATGCAGTGGTCACACTCGAAGCTCTGAGAGGCCAGCCCACTTGGGCAGGTTCTGGGCTTGTTCTAGAGACCTCCCTGGTGTGCTGCACACGTGCGTGCTGGACATGCGTGTGCCCATAATGTCCGACTGGCTGGGGTGGGTTGCAGCATAGGAACCCTGTTGGGGGGATGCTCTTTCTTGCTTTCCTGCTTTCTCACAGGAGAAATAAATATATAAACTAAAAAAAAAAAAAGGCATGCTCCACTGAGTGCAATCTTCCACCATTAACCAGCGTGTCCAGGTGGACTCAGGACATATATCCAGAGCTTCCCACGTGGCTTCCAGCATCACGCGGCAGTGCCCCCCTGCCTGCACTGCGCCAGGTCCATCCAGCAAACGTGTTTAAAGTACCGCCGTCAGCCACTGAGCTGGGCACCGGTGAGATCCAAGCATACCCAGACCTGGTGCCATCCTCAGGTGGTCTAGTGGGAGTTAGATGTGGCTACAGGTAACCGATAGAGAAAAATGGGCTTCAATTGCCAGCTAAGGGGTAGAGAAGAAAGTGCAAATTCAGAGGAAAGAGCGGGGCACCCAGAGGAAGGCCTCACAGAGGAAATACAGGCTGAGCTGGGGATTGCAGCTCGTGGGGCCCTGGGAAGAAAAGCTCACTGCAGGGAGAGACCGTGGGGATACCACGCAGTCCAACTGGCCGGAACCAACGGGTGGAGAAGAAACTGGAGGGAATTGAGCTGTGTAAGAAGGTCACGGTCACACGGTGAAGCCTTGAATACCAGGGTAAGCTTCATGTGGCTGATACAAGACACTTAAAGGAGGAGAATATTAGAAACTAGACTTTGCAATTTCAAGAAGTTTGTAATTCACTGAGGAAAACCAAATTGCCTAACAGCCCCTCCAATCCATGCTCCTGAATAATTTGACTGTGTGCTCAGACAAAGAGGAGCTATGGAGTCCAAACAGACACAGGCTGCCAACCTGGTCAAGAGGAACTTCTGGAATTGCTGGAACACAACACACAAGGCTGCTGCTAATGACGCTACCCCCTAGAGGGCGATCCCCGCAGACCGAGGGGGTGCCAAACCTTTTATGGCCTCCTTTCATTTAATCCACCTAGCAAGACTGTGAAGTAGGCATTGTCACTATCCCTAGCTTGCAGATATGCAGTGAGTCCAGGGTGCTTAGTGTACTTGCCCAAGAACCCAGAAGTAGAAATGTTGTTATTGTTGTCATTTTTCTAATTTGCCAGAGGGCATAAGCACTTGCCAGAAAAACAGAGAGAAAGAGAAGGAAAGTAAGAAAGCACCCTCCGCACCCCCAGTGGGGAATAGTCATGCTCTAATCCTTTCTCTTCCATTTTTACCCCCTTTCAGGATTTTGGGCATGTGTTGGCCACACATGTGCCCAGCATGTTCTTCAAACCACTTTACCCCCTTTCAGGATTTTGGGCATATTTTGGCCACATACGTGCCCAGCATGTTCTTCAAACCGCTGGGTCGGGACTTGAACCCCGCTGTTGGACACGTGGAATCCAGTCGCCTTAACTACCATGCAACTGGCTAGTCCAGAAAGAAGCCTTCTAATTAGGTCTAACTGGACCTGCAAGTCCATGCATTTCATTACTGTGCCATCCTAATCTTAGCTAAAAGAGAAAAATTCATTTCTCCTACCTTTTGGGAGAAACCCAGCTAAGTTTCCTCCAAGAGGCTGGCTCTGATGGTTATCAGAATGTGTACACATCACATTTATTGAACGCCTTTTCTCACACATCAACATGTCAGCCAAGAAAAAGATAAATGTTTTCTTATCAGTGACCGCGGTCACATATTTGTATTATTCAGCTATTTGACTCTACCTTGGTTTTGTTTTGTTTTGTTTTGTTTTTAATTAAAAAATACAGGTCAGAGTTGCAGGCAAAAAATATTGGATTAAATGACAGGAAACTCCCTCTCCCTTCTCCATATCACCTACCTCCTCTTGGCGCCTGCCTCTCATTTTGTTAGGATGACTGTTTCTTCCTATGGGAAGGAATTAGATGCTTTCAGCCCAGAACATAACAACCAGCTCAAGGGCTGAGCACTCCTGGGCCACTGCTCAGCCATTCTTCGGGGCATTTCCGGTTTTCTGATTAGCTCTGTCTGCGTCTCGCTCAGTTCTGGGAAAGTCTCCTCTAGTAATGAATCCAAATGCCAGCTTCCAACCAAGGGTTCCCTGAAAACACAACCAATCTCCCTGCCCAGCACTTTGCCGTCTTGCATAAAAACCCCTTCTTTGCTCTTCACCTACAAGCAGATCGGGTCCTTACTGAAAAGGCCTGAGGGAGACAGGACTCCCAAGGCTGCTTGCTCCGCCTGGGCCGAGAGGTCAGCAGGGATGGCTAATTCCACGCGTCTACTTGGCGGGGCTATGGCTACTTGTTGAAACGCTAGTCTAGATGTTGCTGTCGGGCAAACACTTACAATTAGTCAACTTTAAGAAAAGCAAATTACCCTCCATAACGTGGGGGGCTTCATGCAGATCAAATACTGAATT